TTAGTATTTTGGATGCTGTTGTTAATCCTTTTCTAGTATGTGAACGTTATCAGTCAACAAAAGGAACATCAGCCCTAGAAGTACTCTCTTTTTGAAGTTTTAAATGTATGTTAAATTGAAGGAATTAGAAGTAAAAAATGACCATTCCTCTCTTCCCAAGGTATGTGGTTGGTTACAAAGCTGGATTTGAAACAGTGAACTGCTACTATTTAAGTGAAATTTGTGCCCTGAACTCATGAGCTCTGGATATACCTTTACACAGGTGTATGGTGGCCCATGCGTGCCATAGGAAAAAGCTGTAGAGCCACTGTGAATTTATTTATTTTTTCCAAAAATTTTATATTTATTTATTTAATTTTTTTTATTATTTATTTATTTTTTTAATTTTTTCTGTTTTTTTTTTTAGTTTCTTTTTTATTTCTTTTCTTTTTATATTTTTTTGGATAATTTTTATTTTTTTTATTAGTTATCTTTATTTTTTACAAAGAAAAATTAATATGGCCTATGAGTGCCATAGTAAAAAAATAATAATAGAAATAAAAGAATTAGTATGGCCTACGAGTACCATAGTAAAAAAAAAAAAAAAAAAAAAAAAAAAAAAAAAAAGAGAGAGAGTATGGCCTAGGAGTGCCATAGTAAAAATTAAAAAAAAAAAAAAAGCTCACGGCCTAGATGTGCCATAAACCAGAATGCATTGCAAGTGAATCTCAACACGCTGGGTCCTCCATGTTGTCATCTGAGCTGTGAGTTGTGAAAATCAAGTCCAAGAGAAAACAGAATCCCAAGTGGGACAAATACAGAGAAAAAATGTCCAACAAACGGATGGGCAAGCACAATGACGGGGGAATTCAGTGGCAGTATGGATTATATAACAGTCCAAAGGCTACCTTCAACAGTGAAAGGGAAGTGCCAGAAATACTCATGCATCAGGCCGCTAACGATAGTACCACTTGGTTGTGAGCCAACGTTGAGCAACATCAAGACGGCGTGCAAAAACCGTTTCAGTTAGCTGGAAATGGAATGCAACTTGCTTGCTGGAGAAAGAGGGCCATCATTTATGGATGTCACCATGATAACGAATTGGAAGGTCCTTCATATTCGTTTTATCCCCAAGTCGAATGAAGAGTGCGATCTTTCACGAGAAAACACAAGAAATAGAGCTGCTGCAAACCCTGTGAAGTTAGAGCAGGTAAGGTGCTCACTAGCGCTACCAGCGCCTTCTAAAATTCCTGCTTCTGTTCCACTTAGTGCCATGCTTCAAATTGGGAAGCTTATACAACCCAAAGTTCACGCTGTAACTGTAGAACTGGAACAGTTTGACTTGAAATCAAGGGAATGGCTACCCCCATTCGAAGTAAAAGTCTCTCTGAGCAAGGAGAAATTTTCCAGCGGGGCATTCAGAGATGCTTATGAAGCCACAGTTATAGCTGGTAGATTGCAGCCTGGAGATAAGTATGTCCTCAAGAAATTTAAGAAAGAGCAAGCCAAGGAAGTGGAAAAGTTTTTTTTTAGCATTGAGAATCACACGAGGAAGATGAACTCCCTAGCACGAAATTTTGCCATGAAATTTGGCCTGGATGCACCTGCAGAATTTGGACAAACTTTCAGCTACACCAAAGTATATCTTGGGATGCGCAATAGCGAGTTTGTAGCCCTGCAGAGTTACTTGAATGGGACATTTCAAAAGTACATTAACAACACTGGTAACATCTTTGGTGAGGGAAGCGAACTAAGCATGAAAGCTGAAAGCTTTGTCCATTATAGCTACGTTGCATCAGCAAAACAACTGATGATTGTAGACATACAAGGTGTAAATTATGCACTTTGCGATCCAGAGATAGCAAGTTCGACGCTGATGGCTAGAGACGATACGATTCTGTTTTGTTCGGGAAATCTATGAACAACAGCGATCGAGGAGTTTCTTAGCAAACACACATGTAACAAATACTGCCTGTTACTTAAACTGGATCAAGTGGTTCATGAAGAGGATAACTAAAACATTGTCCAAATTAAGGCAGATTTAGTCAGCTGCTGTCCAACCAGTTCTGTCAGCTCCCACTTTATGCAGGTGGAAAAATGCTCACTTTTTTGGTATGCCACATCAGACTTATTTTGCACTGTTGAGCAATTTTGTGTGTTACTGTTGCAATCTGGTGTTTTGCCAGCAAGTTAAAGTTTTAGTTATAATGAACATTGAAATTAATTGATTAATTAATTAAAAATTGTTGACATGTTAACTACAATGGATTCAATATACATGTAGAACACGTCAACATCTCAACTGTTATGTTCCCTAAGAGTGACCAACATCTCATTTCTCCTTATATTAGTAATGCTGTTCAATCATGACAAGTGTGGAAATTAGGGTGGGGAAAAGTTTTTATGTTGAGTTTTGGTGTTAAAGAATTAGAGTTAAAGTTTCAACTTTGATCACTCAATTATGTTTTTCAGGGGGAAAAATATCTAAAACTGTGAAAACTAGTAGAAAAGAATGTTTCTGTTGAATCCATGTGATTTGCTAAACAATGTGTTAAGGTCTATAGTGGGCAAAGAAATGAATCCTGTGGTGCTGTTGAAGTTGGTCGAAAGTAATGAATTGGCATAATTGAATATCACCATCATTACATTTGCCATGAAATGGTGTTCAAATTAAAAAGTATTGTTGTTGTGTTACTTTTTGTCCTTTCAATTTTCCTCTCAAATAATAATCCAAGTTGTTGACATTTAACAATATTGTTGGAGGTGGTGTTTTTTTCAGCCTCTGCTGATAATACTGACCAAGATCAAGATAACTCTGAAAATATATATATATGTGTGGATTTCACACAAGGTGCCTGTAATAAGTCTCTGGACAGCGAAGTCCAAAAAGAGCAACCGCTTACTCTCCCCACCCATGAAGCATATGATTAGTCAATCACTTCCCCCACGGTCTGCTAGTAGTGTTATAATTAAATTTAATTATTGTGAGTCACAGCATTGATGTGGCAGGGCTAGTGCAACCACAGGAAAAATTATCTGCCTTTGCACTACTGTCTGACTTTAAACTCCAATCAAAGTGAGGAGATCTCCTCTTCCTAGCCTCCTACTTTTGACGTAAAACAAGAGAGCCACCCATCATCAAATAGGTCTGGGTCTTGGCTTTAAGAAATTGAAAAAATTCAGGACTTAATTCAGGTTCTGGTTCTACAATGTTTCAACAATTCCGAAAGGTAAATTGAATTCCAAAATATTGAATTCGGGGTGCCAGACTTCTAAGGCTCCATGCGTACATAGGATAATCTTTTCTCATCAAGTCCAGTATTTCTGTTCTCTTTAAATTCAGACAGACAAACTTAGCTAGGTTGTTTTTTAAATCGATGTCATCTTCCCAATTGCTGTTTCTGATCCTTACCTCCGCCATTTTGGAATCGAAATGCATTCTGGTCTATGGCACATCTAGGCCATGAGCCTTTTTTTTTTTTTTTTTTTACTACGGCACTCCTAGGGCATACTCTCTTTTTTTTTACTTTCTTTTTTCTTTTTTTTTACTATGGCACTCGTAGGCCATACTAATTTTTTTTATTTTTATTTTTTTTTTACCATGGCACTCATAGGCCATATTAATTTTTCTTTGTAAAAAATAAAGATAACTAATAAAAAAAATAAAAATTATCCAAAAAAAATATAAAAAGAAATAAAAAAGAAACTAAAAAAAAGAATAGAAAAAATTAAAAAATAAATAATAAAAAAAATTAAATAAATATAAAAATTTTTGGAAAAAATAAATTAATTCACTGTGGCTCTACAGCTTTTTCCTATGGCACGCATGGGCCACCATACAGGTGACCAAAACATTTTTCATTTTTTAATGTTGAAGATTCTTATCTGGAGGAATTAAGGAAACAGTACGAGAAGAGACTTCAAATAGAAAAATCAACTTCTGCTGGACTCAAGGTATCCAGGAATAATAATGATGAGAGCAGGCCTAAAACTGTTGGAAACCACTTAAGAATATGAAACTGTTTGTTTGTGTTTTATTTTAAATGAACATTTTCTTGCAGATACTCAGAAGTATCAAAGTGTCAAGTAACTCACTTGCATTTTTCCATTTATTGTTTACCATTAGCATCGAATAATCAGTTAATCCCTAACTCTCAACAAATCTGTTGATTTACTTTCACCTATTCCTTTTACACATGTTGTAAGAGGCTTTAGATGTGCTGATATTGATACAACACAAGATGCACAGTCCAGGCTCAAGCTTACTAAATAGACAACTCGGTCCTCTTAATTCAACAATTTTTCATTTTCACATCTGAAAATGTTCTTGTCAAATTTGTGATCATGAAACAGAAGCAACTGAGGTATATGAAGGAAAAAGAAAGAGAACTTGCAGTTGCACAGAGTGAAGCCACTCAACTAAGAACAGAGTTTTCAAAATTTAAACGGTAAGTACAGCAAACAGAAAGTTGCTTGTTGATCACAAATTGTAATTTAATTACTTTTTGTACTTTTTGTAAAACTATTCTTGGCATTGAATGGTCCAGAAAATTTCAAAATATATATTTGCAACTTAACATTGTTATTGCACTCTTTAAATTTTTGGCATATTAAAGGGGATTTCCAGAACAGGATTCCTTTCTACCTCTCATTTTAGAGAAGTTGTTTACTGAGTATTTTATGCAATGTGCAATGAGTATCTTACCCTGTAATAACTAGACCTGGTTGGAGGCTTGCATTTTACAACATTGAATGCTATAATGATGTCTGTTGCTTTTTATAGCATGAAAATATTAATAGAGGAACATACAAGTGAAGCCGAGGACATGTTGCAGCAGTTAGATGCTAAGTCGTTCCCGGAAGTCATCCTTCAACTTATCACACTAAAAAGGTAATAATTATTATTTATTCATCTGGAGCTGTTATCTTGGACTTAAGAAGGGAGTCAGAGGGAAGGGGAAAAAGCATAATTATTATGGTAAGTATACTCTGTAGGTTGCCAGATTATAGTGTGGATGCCTCTATTTCAGGCTAGTATGCTGCTTGCTATAAATTGGTTTTGTAAATTTTGAGTGCAAGTGGCATGACCAATTTGTATTATTGTTCTATAAAAACAGGAGCTTGCCTTGTTTTAAAGTTTGAACTAATAGACAAGTGAATCTGTATACATTAAACAATCAGAGAATTTGCTCCTGATAGGTGTAATTTTGCCTTCATCCAGTTGAAATCTTGAGCTCATAGTCTAATATTGTTGAAGATTACATGGACATCAAATAGCATTGTTATCATTCTTTAAAGTTCCATCTATGTTAAACATTTAATGATACATATCAGATAACCAAGTATGGCTCCAGGATATACCTCTATCACAAGGCAAGAATGCAATGGTAGTTATAATTATAGTCACATTTGAGACTGTCATGCTCTCACTTAACATACTTTGTTTCTTTTTGGGGATTTGTGCATCATAACAGGAAACTAGAGGAAAAAAAGTTGAAATGCAAGCAGGCCATAGATACAACAGAGAAAGTTAGAAAAGAAAACATTATGATAAAAAATGAGGTAATAGATTAAATGAATTTTGAAATTTAGTCGGTAGAAATTGTAGCCAGAAGTGAAGAAAACTGAACTTCAGTGAACATCTCCCTGCATATTGGACTGGGAAAATGTTCTTGCTCAAAATGGGATTTAGTCATTTTCCCTTTTCCATCTCTTGTTTCATTGATCATGCAGTAATATGTCTCAGCTCTTATACTCTCAAATTTGTTCTAGATAAATATTTTATGTATTTTTATTTCATCATCGATTACTGAAGAGTTTGATACACTTTCTTATTATATCACTTGCAGTGCCCATAGGCAAGGTGAAGTGAATCCTGTGTTCTGATTGGCTACCAGAGTGGGCAAGATGGGCCCATCTTGCCCGCTCAGGATTGCCCGCATTGATCCCGTGCATGAAAAAGATAGAATTAGAACTATGTTCACAATTCTTGGACAATTTCGGTGATGGAAACGCAAAAAGTGGCAGAAGATAGTCAAAACTAAGAAAACAGAAACAACTCTCGTGAGTTTGTTGTGCTACAAACACAGTAGGCGTTCTTTCCAGGCTCTCGAAATAGACAAGTCATTCCTAATTCTTATTAAAGTGAAATCTTTTTGCAATATAAGAAATCCTTCATTAACCAAGTTTGTTCAGTCAAGATGGTTGGATATTAGCCTCATTCTTTTGGAAAACTCTGAAGCCACAATCTTGAGGTGGTTGACAATGCCTGCTCACTCTTCTTCCTTGAAAATTTTCATTGTTGTTCTTTAAATTACTATTCTAAATCATTCTGTTACTCAGGCATGGCAACTTATACCAATTTGCTATTTTCAGGAGATTCAGTGGGTAATTACACATTTGAATTTTTTTTTGTAATTATATCAAAGGCAGCTTACAAGGAAATTGAGTTGACAAAAATGAAAGATAATCTTAAGATGGCAGAGGAAGACATCCAAAAACTTGAAAAAGAAAATGCTGTAAGTTCCATAGACTTAGTAGGACTTAAAGATACAAGAAATGAATGAATGTTGCAAACATATTTACAGTTTGTGAGCATTTCTGTTTCATGGTAATCTTGGGTTTTGAAAAAATAATGTTCTGTTTTAAGTAGATACTCTGCATTGATATTCTACAATTTTCTTGTAAAGTAGCTGTGTGGTAAGTTATATCATTCGCATTAGACTTTGTTGTTTAGAGAAAAGAGCAAAAAGATACAGTTTTTGCCTGCCTTGGCACATGAGAACTGTGCTTACCAGCTACCCCTGTGAAGTTCGAATTAATGACCTTTCTTGGAATTGATAAGAGTTTTCTACACTTGAATCTTAATTGGTCTTCCACACTTGAATCTTTAATTGGTCTTTCCACCATTATACAGAGTTACAAGAATAAGCTAACAGCAATGGAGAGAGCATTTTCATCCCCTAGTCCACGGAGTAGTGCCATTGGTCGCCTCATAAGGGAGAGGTATGTCCACAAGATGGCAAGAGTATCTTGCAAGACAATTATTATTGACTAACTAGATACATTTTAAAAAAAAAATGTTGGACAATTGTTTAGAATTTCATTTAAACGATAAGGTATTCACATAATGCAAAACAGCAAAGCTGACAAGCCAATGGCCCTTTACACTTACTGTAGATATCAGCAAAACTCATTAGTACATTATATAGCTAGCTCTGCCTGCAGCCAAGATGAAGCGCCTGTGTTCTGATTGGTTACCCGAGCTAGGTCAATTACTCATATTTGCTATACAGCTGGCAGCAATAGTGGGCAAGATAAAGGAAAGTAAATCCTGTGTTCTGATTGGCTACCTGAGCAAGCCAAATGCATCTATATTGCCTGCTTGGGATTACCCACTTTGATTGTGCATAAGAAAAAGGATGCATGGAGTGGACTTAAAAGTTCATAGCACTTGGGCAATGTTGGCAATGAGGTCACAAAAGCAGCAGAAGACAGTCAAATATGAAAAAAATTAAATGTTGCATATTTATGTTCTATGTAGTCCAGCACCAATGGATATTAAGAGGCCGAGGCTGAGCTGTACTGAAGAGGATTTGGAAAATATTGTTATAGCAGAGACACCATCCCCAAAGCCAAAAGGTTTTGATGGCAACAGTGAACTGAGGAACATTGCAGAAGAGTAAGGAAATCTAGACTTTAGATCATTTTAGCAAGTAGGTCTACTTACTTGCAGTGCACTGCCTAACCTGTTTGAAGCCTTTACACAAACATTATTGTACCCCTAATATACATGTACAGGTAATTCTCTTCAAATTTGTTCAAAGTAGTTGACTCTGAGGAACAACAAAGCAACATGAACTTGGTTAGACTTCAAAGCTCAACTGCAGGAGCAGTGGTTCCTAGGAGAACCTAGACCTCTTTAGGAAAGAGAGGCTCCTCAGGCCTTCAAAACCACCTGCCTGCTATTCTAAAGAAGCCAATTGTACCAAATCGTTATATTGAAACCAGTGGGGGACTTCAGTGCACACTCTAATTCAGTATAGGGGATGCATGTGGTATTGGCTCCTGGGAATAAAATGTTGATATGTTAATCTTCTTTACAGAGTGGGTTTGTCCCTGGTGAAGACAACAAGCCTAACCTCTCCACCCAGTCACACAGTTTTGAAGCCAGCTCAACAACAGCCTAAGAAGGTCCCAAAACCAGCAGGAGGGTCTGTGTTCAGACAGGGTTATAATGGACTGGGTGGACATACAAAGTTCCTTGCTCCATCAAGACCAATCAAGACAGCATCACGTAAAGTGGCAAGACCCAATGGCATTTCTAAATATATCAAATCTTCCAATCTCATGAGAGTGGCTGACCCTCCCCTTCCTGTTATGAACCTGAATTTAAATTCTTAAATTAAAGATAGCTACTCAGTGATAACAGTTATTTATTACAGATTCTGTTCACAATTATTTGCTTTGATAAATTTATGCAGATTTTGTTACCCTGGGGATTGTTCAGGAGAACACATAAAAATGTATTACATACATTCCCTTTTAGTGTGCTCAATTTTTGAAGACCTTAGTATGCAAATCCTTTTTTTTTCTGGGCAGTTTGTAGTCTTGTTAGTCACTCACTTTGGTAGTGCTTATTGAGTTCTTGAAAATTTTTCTTTGAAATGTATTTAAGGCTTCACATCAAAACTACCTGTATCTTATGGATCAGACTATTCACTTGTTGTAGTTAGGTTAGGGCCTTTTACTGGAATTGTTGCTTAAAGCAAATGATGTCATACGTATGAACTTCATATATTCATCGTACCAAATGATGTCATGTTTGCTGAAAGATCATGAGAAGACAAACTCCTACGGCCCCACTCGCCTACGGTCCGTACGTCACGACCCAAATGTCTTCTCGTACTGCCCTCCCATTCAGTCAAAAAGTACGGATTAAAGAATGCGTGGAAGGGCCGCAGTGAGGTCCGTAATGCATGGCAGAGAGACATATTTTCTCGTCAAGTCCTACCTGACTCGGGCAAAGAACAGTTTTTCATATGACCTCCGGTCGTTGCACCTTACGGCCTTGTCCGGCGGTCATGTTAAAACGCAGACTGCAGACCGTGTGCTGACGGGGTAATTTTTGGTTACTTGCTACTTCACCCTGTCATACATTACACCCATGATTTACTTATTTACAACAGGGAAGGTTTTGTGGCCACCAGATCGTGCCGACTGCTTGTTTTACTCTAGACTTGGCCGGTTTTGGGGTCCTCAACGAAGAGTCTGACTCGCTCACATTCTAGTCCTGATTACATCTAACTTTATTTGCTAAATCAAAGTGCCTATATATTGGTGGCTAGTTTTTACGTGATTAGATATGCGAGGGAAGGCATGTAGTTTCGTACTACGAAAACGAAGACCCTGCATTAGCCAAAAGAATTGCACACTTTTTAACAAGAATTTTACAGCAGAGAAGGCTTAACGACCGTCAGAATCTATTTTAGCTACGAAATACAGTTGACATAGGTTATTTATTGACAGGCCTAAGAGTCATTTCCTGTACAGAACGCGTTCATTGGGCTTGTGCTATTACAAAATAGTCTGAGCCTGTTCTTTGTTATTCTGTCACGGAATGCTAACTATAAATCAAAGGCGGCTAGCATTCGAATTCTGCCTGGTGTTCCAGAATAATATGTGTGGTAAGTTTACCCGAGGAAACCCTCGAGAATATCAACACCAAATTGGCTCGCATAGCGAAACAGAACAGGCAAGACGGGCCAGTAGTACTGGCAGTAAAATAATGGGAAGAAACACGTGAAGTGTAATGTATTATATTACTAAGCGTTGTTGCTGTTTAATGTGTGTTTAACTTGTAATTTCTACGGTTTTCTGTTTACAGGGTCTTCGTTTTCGTACTACGAAAACTAAGACCGGGTCTTAGGTCTTCGAGGGTCTTCGTTTTCGTAACACCCGCGTGACCCCAGCGCATTGAAACGTGACCTGTCATCCTAGGTTTAAGAATAGATCAAGTACTAGGTTGTTGTAAAACAGAAATATGATCCTTGTAACATGCAAAAATGTGCAAAGTGTAATCTTAACAGGGCAGGATTTACGTAGGTAATTAGGGTACAACAAAGCATTATGCTCACGTTCGAATTAAGGTGCTTACCAGAAAGGAACTGAACTACATGCCTTCCCTCGCATATCTAATCACGTAAAAACTAGCCACCAATATATAGGCACTTTGATTTAGCAAATAAAGTTAGATGTAATCAGGACTATAGTGTGTGCGAGTCAGACTCTTTATTTAAGACCCCAAAATGGCCAAGTCTAGAGTAAAACAAGTAGTCGGCACTTATCTGTTGGCGACGAAACCTTCCCTGTTGTAACAATAAGTAAATATATATATATTTATAACATAACCAAAGTAAAGCGCGCGCTCTGATTGGTCAATTTAGCGTCCCCAATTTGCCCATGGGTGTACGCTGCTGACGTGAGCAAATGCAAAGACTGTTTTTCCGCG